GAAAGAAAGCTAAAATTTTTCGACATGATTGTCTAATAGTGGCCTTGATGAAGGATTGTTTTCGAGTATATCGGGGGATTTTTGTCTTCGCCATTGAAGGAGAGGTCTTTTGGAGGGAGAGAAAGGCGAACGTGTGGCGCTGGGTTGCTTTGGAGAGAGAGAGAGAGAGAGAGAGAGGATATATATTTGTGCGATTGTTTTGGTAAGCATATATTTAATCCCAATTAGAAATCTCAATTGCATTTAATTAGTCAACAATTCCTTAAGCGACGGTTATATATATTGGTTTAAATCTTAGGTACAATTGTAATATTTTTAGCTTCTTTAGATAAATTTTAAAATAAGTATATAAGGAGTAGAAAAGTGTAATATAATTTAAAGGTGTTAGAATGTGGTGCAATTTCCTCAACAAAAATTCTCCCTGGTCCAGACCCACCTCACTCATAAACAGGTTTAGTTGGGGGCCCAAATATCACCATTAACCATTTCAATGGCCCAATAGCAACCCATTTATTCTTCTTCTTCTTCCAAGTTGCCGGACAGTGATAGACGCAGGCGCAGCAGCTCACCAGCACCAATATTTGCTCTACGCTCTTAAATCCATCAACGATCCTTCATGAATCGCATTGCTAAGCGCGTGTTTTCCACAGCAGCTGTCAGCTACCTCAAACCCTCGCGTGGATTGTCATTGCTGTTGCAGAATGAGAACCCTCGCGCACCCATGAAATTTCAGGTACTGCAGTCTTTACTCGATTTATGAGCTCCTAATTATTTTTCCCTGTTATTTTCGCGCAATTAAGTCGTTATGTTTCTTTGTAATGTCTTCGTGTTTATTGCAATCTCTGCGCCAATTATGTCACCATATTAGATGGCTTTCGTTGTTTTTTTGATTCACTTTTACACAGTTGAATTAGTGAGTATGTTTTTGTAGCTTTTGGGAGCTGCAATGGCCTATTATGTTTGTTTTTAATTTTTGTTAGAAAAAAATAAAAAAAAAGTTTGTTCTTTTCTTTGTTTTGAGAGCTGAATTTGTGCCCCAGCCGTGTAGTCAACTGGCTTAGTGGGAGGGTGAAAACTCGACTATCGTGGACAGTGGGATAGGGCACCTCACTCCTCCTGGAGGATTAGTTCCACACCTCTAGGCGTGGATCCCTTAGGCCGTTAGGCCCGTACCCCGTGGGGGGGCTGGCTGTTCGTGGTGAAGGCTCGGAGTGAACATGGGTGTCAGACAATCTCGGCACGGCCACGCTCGCTTTTCACCTTTGTGAAGCACCACTGGATCGACAAAGATAAGGAAGCTGCAGCCGAGCATGATTCCAAATGGAAGAATGACATGCTGAAGGAACTGCGTACCACCCAGGCGGACGGTTTCAATGGTCTGCATAGTCAAGCTACGTCCCACTTTCAGCAGATGATGACTAAGCTTGGAGAGGTAAAGTTTTAAGTTTATGTTTGGTTTTTTAATTAAATCTCTCTGTCTGTCTTAAACAGATCCTAAATCTGTTGTTATATTACTTAGAAATAACAACAAATTCTAAGTAATATAAATATAACAACAGATTCTAGATCTGTTTAGACGACAGACGACAGGCAGAGAGATCTAATTAAAAAACCAAACATAAACTTAAAACTTTACCTCTTCAAGCTTAGCCATCATCTGCTGAAAGTGGGACGCAGTTTGACTTTGCAGACCATTGAAACCGTCCGCCTGGGTGGTACGCAGTTCCTTCAGCATGTCATTCTTCCATTTGGAATCTTGCTCGACTGCAGCTTCCTTATCTTTGTCGATCCACTGGTGCTTCACAAAGGTGAAAAGCGTGGCCGTGCCGAGATTTTCGACACCCTTGTAACAAAATTGTACTTTTGCACCTCATACAATTTTCCTGTTGATGATGCATATTTAGTTTTTGCTCCTGTTTTGTATATATCAAAGAAAGAGAAAACTTCATCCATTATGATTAAGATAAAGAGTCATTGTCGTTTCTATAGAACTCATGGATTGATTTGTATTTTGTAGAAGGATAAAAGTTTGATGTTTGCGTTTTTCTCATCTGCACCAGTTCTACTTGGAAATTATGCAGCCCAATAAGATGTCTTTTATCTTTGATAATATCCTTGAAGCAACCATGGGAAAATAGATTATATGCGTAGTGGGATTTGGTGATATTGTTGACAGTTTATGGAGTATCGACTGTCGTGGATGATGAATATCATTTCGTGGAGCTTTTCTTCGTGTTTCTTAGTCTATCTGACCATTTGCTGATTTATGAAAATGCAGCATTTATGCAGAAGAAATCCAGTGAATTTCCAATCTCGAAAATTCTCATCATCATTCCTTAGAAAAGGTAGGTGTAGCTTTATTAAATTTTTCACTGCCATTTCTATGTGAAACTTATCTCAGTGTCCATTAACTATGGAAGTTACTGAATATTCTGTTTAATCATTTTACCGTTCCCACTTTATCTGTTCATGGTTTTTTCTCAAATTAATATAGATTTTGAATGAGTTGATTTAATTCCTGCAGTTTATTGTACACCTTGATAACAAATGATTGGTTAAATGCCATTCTGATAGATGAAAAATCAATAGAAGAGGAGGCGGAAAGGAAAATAGGATGGCTGTTGAAGACAATTTTCTTTGGGACTGCTGGTCTAGTTAGTTACAACTTATTTCCATACATGGGTATGTTTCGTTTCTTAGTATTCAGAATGAACAACTGAAACGTGTGTATTTCAATCTTAAATATCGATTCAAAGTTGTTCTGCTGTTGTACCTCTGCAGGAGAAAATTTGATGCAGCAATCTGTATCACTTTTACATGTGAAGGATCCTCTGTTCAAAAGAATGGGAGCATCCCGATTAGCTCGTTTTGCTATTGATGGTAATGTTTGAGCACTGGTTAGTAAATGCGTAGTTCACTAATGGCTTGTATGCAAATATTGCAATTCCTTGCTATTACAAAGTCACTTCCAGTTTGTATTTTTTAACTCTCTCTCTCTCTCTCTCTCTC